CATCATCATCATCATCATCATCATCATCATCATCATCATCATCATCATCATCATCCTCATCCTCATCCTCATCCTCATCCTCATCCTCATCCTCATCCTCATCCTCATCCTCCTCCTCCTCCTCCTCATCATCATCATCATCATCATCATCATCATCATCATCATCACCATCCTCATCATCCTCATCCTCATCCTCATCCACTGTTACTGTCAATGGGATATACCTTATAAGGTATAACCCAATTTGTACCAATTTGCATTTTTTCTTTGATGATATTTGGTCGTTTTGTTCCTTAGGGGTAGCTGGAGCTGAGAATCCTTGATTGAAAGACCATGGCGAGGTCACAGGAGCAGATTGAAGAGGAGGATAAGGAACCACCTGAACCGCCAGCAGCACCCTTGGCCATCTTCGGTGGCATTTGCGACTCGACGGAACGGCCGAGTGTTGAGGCCACCCCGTTTGATGTAAATGTAAATGCAGACAGTTGATTAAAACACACATAATATACATATATTATTTAGAAAAACATGAACATGTTAACGTTCTGCCCAACTGCTTGTTTCTGGCTGAACATGCATTCCGTTTTTTGGAGAGGCTCGTTGGTTCATTTCAGCCCGCGGTCCGAGATTTGTGCCATAGCTTTGGGCAGTTCTAGGTGGGGTTTGTGCACAACGTTCCCGGCAGTTCGGGACTTGTTGTTCACGGATGCTCACAATGCGCAGGGACCGCCAAACCACTTTGGCGCTGCAACCGAGTTGCCACGCCTATACAGTTGCTGCTCCAGCGTGCAGCTTCCCAGGAGAAAAAGGAAAAACTAGAAACACGCTTTTTGGGGCATCCACCATGCATTTCAGTTCACACAAGGCACAAAGCATCAGGTCATTTTGATCAAACTTTCTTTGGACCTTGGGCTCAGTTCACCTCGTGCCCCCGGAAATTCGGACCTCTTGGCCGTGTTTATATATAAAGGTGGATGTCCAGAAAGGTTTTCATCCGGCTATGTTTTGAAGTTGCTTCCTGGGTGTCCATCCCGGTGTTCTGGCTGAAAAGCCTGTTCCCAGTCTGAGTGAGATGTCCATTGGGGGATATAAAGCAATCATATCAGCCCCTATTAGACTATTTATAGGCCCCTCCTGCCCAGAAAAAACAACACACCCCATAGGCAAGGGCTATGGCATCTTCGCCGAGATCCTCAAGGACTTCCTGGAAGGTGTGGACACCTTCGCCGGGCGCTACCTCGCCTTCTTCAGTCCCTAGGACCGGACCTTTTCGCTCGACCGGTCGAAAACGGGGTCCACGAGCGGCTCCACTCAGCTCCACAGCTTGAGGAGATAGGTGGTTCGGTGGCTTAACCAGGAAATGGGCCAGGAGCCCATCCGGGATGACCGAGCTGGGGTGCCCCTTCAGGTCACGAAGTAGGCTGACCCCCAACCAAGTGGGGAGGCCCGGGTTTGGCAGATTTGGCGGCCCCACTGACGGCAAGGGTTACTGTATGTGGTGTTTGGGTGTTCAATGTTGTTTTGCTTCGCCTTGGAGTCTTGAATCTTCACTTCCAAACAGTTGAGACTTGAATCCTGCAGTTTTTGGGCATCTATCGATGATCGATCCTTCTCCAGCCAGATTTGTCGCAACCTGTGGTCGATTGGCTTACGAGGCTTCAACCGATGGTGCAGCGGAAAAACCCGCTGCAATCCAATACACCTTCTCCAGCGACATCCGTTTTTGGTGTTTCGGGTGAGCTGGAAGGGCCTATAACTAACATCCTGTATATATAACCCGGTGGGAAATCCACCCTGCCATGGTCAAAAGCTCGAAATGCTTCCAAATGTCCTTCATGTTCTAGCAGGCTTTGGTCTCATCATATTGTGTTTCATGGTAGGTCCTAGATATTGTAAGATTACATGTGATATTAGGTTAGAGAACAGTGACCCTTCACACAGACGAGCCAAGCTGACCTGTTTCAATGTTCCTTGGACGAGCCAACGCTGAGCCGGAAAGTACGGGATCGAAAGTATGAGTCTCCTGCAGGGATGATTTCCCTATGGGGAGAGACTGGATGTGCTGGGCATCTGTGGGTTTCAGTTCTCTGATTGAGTATGTAGAGGAGCTGGGAACCCCAACCCACGTCTTGAAGTGGCGTCCCAACCCACGTCTTGAAGTGGCGTTTGGGCTTTGAAGTCTCCCCAGGACTTCGGGGACTTGGTGTATTTTGGTTTTCGTGGCAGCACAGCCCGCTATTTTAGGGACTCAGTCTTCGCTGTTGGGGACCCCAAAACCACGAGTAGCCCATACCAAGCCTGATATGATAAGCGTTTCAGGCCAACTCAGACGAACTTGCCTCCCATGTCAAGCCAATGATGCTGGAGTTGACCGCGTGGCTCAGGTATTTTATACATTGCTTTCAAGTGGGCACACTTTAGACTCTTCAATGACTTCCCGCCCTTCTGACGGAGCAGATCCAGATCCAAAGTGAGCAGACCAGCGACGGAACGGAGCCAGCAGACTTTGAAGGTGCTGGAAAATGGAGCCCGCGCGCGAGCTGCGTGAGGCTGCGCGTGAGCCGCTTGCGTTCGCGCGGCGGAAAGACCAACGCGCCAGCTTGACGAGCACGTCGATGGTGGTTTTGAAAGTTCTTTTTAGCGTTGGGAAAAAGGGTTGATAGTGGTCCCCAAACAGATAGTGGCACGGTTTCTAAGTCATGTTTGGTGGGGATTCTACTATATATAATATTTATATTTATTTGGGGGTTTGTTGGAGCCCGGCCGGGCCACTCAGTGAGCCTCCTGTGAGGCATATTTTGCCAGGGAAGACTTGAGAAGGCACTGGCCCATGAAAAAGGAAACTCTTACGAATTCCGGGGCAGTTCGAATGGTGTGTGTGGAACTTGGAACTTGAGACGTGTATGATACTGGTCCCTTTTAGCCAACTCATTGGACCTTCAGCTTGATTTTTCAAGAGAGAATCTCTTGGACTTCGCGATCGGCACTCCAGACACTGCATTGTTTGGACAGACTTGCCTACATTGACCCCTGACACCACCCCAACTGATCGGCAAATCTACGGGGAGTGCTTTCCAAAGTTCTAAGATTAGAGTCCCAGGCGTTCGAACTTGAACATCGACCAGTCTACCCAGTCTACCGGGGCGAGATTTCGGGGTAGTTTCCCTTTAAAAAAATAACACATTAAGACACACACACTATAGAAAGAGAGAGAACTGCGTTGCATATAGGAAAGACATTGGTTTCACCACTAGAAAAACACACACCCAAAAACCGACAGCTCGACCGTGCGCATCCGAACGACCGGTCCACGCAGCGGTGGAACCTTGGCGCAAAAAAACCGGTGGTTGAGAAACGGTCAGAAAAGAGGTGTTTTGTGGTTTTAAGCGATGTTTCTGGAAAGCAAAAGCTAAAACAACACAGCATGTTGATAGTCTTTGAAACATCAAATGATGGTCACCACTGATCATCATTTGGTGGTTCATGCTGTTTCAGTGACGTTTCTTGATTTCCAACACCACAAGAAGCCGTCACCAGTAGCATCCAGTCCGTCACACCCCTCAGACTTCGCCGTCACACCCTAAGGAGACCAATGCACTGGACGCCCTCATCGCCGCTGCGAAGACGGAGCCTAAAACGGAGGCTCGGGAGGAGCCCAAGAAACCGCCCATGCCGCCCATGCCCAAGGCTGTGACTGGGCGAGGTTACAGCTGGGCTGGGTAGATGACAGACCCCATGGTGTCCTAGACAGATGGGGGTCCATATAAACCACCTCTTGGTGGTCTGTGCATCTACTCTTCGCTATACTGTAATTGGAAATGATCATGGTGGAAGTAGATGGCATGGCCATGCATGGCCATGCATGGCTCCCTGGTTGACCATCAAATCCGAAGACCAAACTGGTAGTGAGCTCCTCCACGATGAGGGCCAGGGTGTGGACTCTTTTTGGTTCGCCCCCACACAAATCAGTTGGTCGCCAATTCCTTCCCGGCAGCACTGTATTGTGTGGAAACCAGGTTCGGGAATTCCTGAGCTTACCACTACGTTCATAACGTTGGGGACATGATTTTCTTCGTTGGGGAAATGCTTGACCGGACCAGTTTGCAGTCGTTTAACGTACACTGTGTTGTACCGTTATAGACTTATTATTCTCCAATGTCCGAAAGCTTCGATAATCCAAGGGACCAGGGTTGCTTTGTTATTATCCTTCTTTCCTGACTGGTGCTTAGTAGGGAATAGGGAAATGGATCCAGAGGGGCCTACAGGGGTGGTTCATTCCCTCATTCCCTACTAAGCACCAGTCAGTTTCAGGGGGCCAGAACGAGGTGAGTGAGTGCTTTTGCTTCTTCGGGTTGAGCCAAGGTGAAGATGGAGACAGTGAAGACTGAGCCTCAAGTCAAGGTGCAGCGGCATGGATCTGACGGCAGTCAGTCAGTGTCCTTTCGCAGCGGGGAATGGCTGAGAGGTTTCGCTTGGGCTTTGAGTAGTATGAGGGTGCAGAGGGTACAGTAGTACTCTCCATAGATCCACAGATAGTTCATGATACCCTTTGACTCACTAAGATGGAAGTGCAAAACCACCTATATCCACATATTGTACATTCGGAAAAGGTGGTCTTTCCAGTGGCCCTTGCCCATCTCCATGTGATGTGTTCGCCGGAGTGTCATTCAATCGTTGCTCATGTCCCTCTCCAACATGCGCATGTTTGGCTTTGTGGCCTTGTCATTGCATCGGGTTGCAGAACATCCAGGCAGAGGACGACACAGAGGAAGAAGAAGAAGATCCGCTGATGGGTTTGGGGGCCGAGATCCGGGTGGCAGGCTGGAACGTTTTCCACGACCGGGTGGGTGGCAGAGGCGAGTGGTTCAGTATGAGAAACCCGTTTGGGCTCCAGGAGGTTACCTCCGAAACGGTTCGGTATGACTGGACCCGAACATGGCACCCACTCCAGTCCCACCTTCGAAACGGTTCGGTACGACTGGAGCCCAGGGTTCCATCGTTTGGAGCGAATTTTCGCTGTTTTCGGCCATCGAGTGCTGATCGCGCCCTTCTTGGGCTTGTCGTCCACTGGCTCAAAAGAGACACGGGCAGCTTCCAATGCCTTGTCAAGGCCAACTCCAAAGCAGCTTATTGGAGTTCGTTTTGGTAAGGCTACTGTTGGTGCACAATTCTTGCAACAGAGTTGGATTGTACTTGCCACAAGTCAGACTAAGAAGGTTTAGAGGGTCATGTTCATACTATATTGACGCTTGGGGTCTCAAGCACCACTTTGATTGCATACGACACTGCCCTATGGCTCACTTCAGAAAACCATAGAGGACGGTGGTGGTCTTGACGATGCTTTACTTGTCAAGGGGATGGACCGGGCCGGATGGAGCCATTGTGGCGTCCTCCACCTTTCCTGTGATTACAGTGCTTTCAGATCTTCGATGGCAACACCCAAGGATGTCGACAGATGCGGGAAAGTCCGGGGCACCCACGAAACCAAGCTGAACCTCCCCAAGGCACCATGAAACCTCTGAAACCACTCGACCTCGGCGGTGACAGTGGGTTCGGTGACCCGGGCCGACCGAGGAGCGGCGCTGAAGGCACAGCGTGTGAAGGAGGAGCTGGAGTGAGGTCGGTGCCCTGCAGCTGGAGTGAGGTCGGACAGCCAAAGAGTTGTGTCCTCACGACGGATGTCGAGGGTTGGAATTGGTTTCGACATGTTCGACTTGTCAAGTTGTTTAGAGAGAGTGAGCCACATCAAAGATGGTCAAATTGTTGGACTGACTGTTTGCTCTAATTGGCTCAGGCTCAGACCGGTTTCATCCTCCAAAAGAGGAGGTTGTTGGACCCGAGCCTCACCCGCAAGAGGGTCAGTGATTCTTCTGTAAAAGAACACCAATACTACCCATGCCAGACACTCCATGGAATACATGCCTACATTGACCCCCTGAAACCACCCCAACTGATCGGCATATATGCCAAGGTCCCATGGGTCATGTCTGGGATATAGTTCATGGATGTTCATTGCATGCACCTGCAGAGCGTGAATTCTCGCATTTGTCGTGGATGTGAAGGTGCCCAGTAATTGTTTAAAACAGATTGTTTTGGCAGCTTGAAAGTCAATGTCTTCGTATACGTGGATTCTTACCCAGTTTTTCACACTCGACCTCCACTTATGGAATAGAATGCCTAATTTCATGGACCCCTGGAAGTACCCCTGGAATCAACCACCCCAATGTAGGCGGTCGTGTTTGGGTTCCGGGAGCCGTGGTCGTGTTCGGTGATCGTCGCCAGGTGGAGTGGCCGCCGACGTGGGCAGCCGGAAAAGGAACGACCGGGGCGGGGCGATCGCTGGGAGGGGTTTCAAGTCCTGATTGAACACCAGACACATCTAGGAAAACTAAAGGGTTGAAACATGTTGAACACAGATTCTCAACCTTTGAGGTCAATTGGGAAGGGTATTCTGCCTCAACCCGCTGTCGTGCAATGGTTGGATGAAGTAGACCCACCCAGTGTACACTTTTAGAATCGACAAAGTACAGTAAGGCTTACAATGTGAGGCAATTGAGTCTTGTTCCCACAAGCCGGGGTTGGGTTTTTTGGGATGCCCTTGCGGGCCAAATTGGTTGAAACAACTGTTGAGCTCTCCGGAAGTTCTTCAGAAGAACCATGAAGAACCATGAAGAACCTCAACAGAATTGTCAGTTCGCTTCACAATCAGAAGAACCAAAGAACCTCGATCGATCCAGAGCGCTCCGAGCTCCGTTTTCGCCATCCACCGCGCCAGCGGTGACGACGCTTTTGCGCGCGCGTTTCTTCTCACGCCTGGACCGGACCCCAATAGGAGTAAGCAACGATTCCGTAATTAAGGCATGGAATTAGATGGAAACGGCTGCTGTATAAGCAAGTAAGCAAGTAACTAAGTAAGTATGTAAGTAAGTAAGAAAGTAAGCAAGTAAGTAAGTAAGTAAATAAGTAAGTAAGTATTCATAAGTTGCTATTGTAGTATACACTTATATATATACACTACATTGAATTGAACATGGTTTAATTTGAATTTTGATTCAAATTGTTTGAATTATGATCATATTTCCGACATTTGGGCATTCTTGCTTTTGCCACCATGGCCGGACCCCACGACTCTGGCCCTGAGAAACTGCACATGCTTTGGCTGGAGATCGAATGTGAGGACGCTTTTCCAAGTGCCTTTCAGAGGTTTCTTAATGTTTCCGATGCGTTCCCTATAGTGAGTTCCACACCACCTGCGCGAATCGGAGGAGGTGTTTTGGAATGTTATTGACACTGGGCGCCTTTGGGGGGTCGTGCCTCGACGTACCTTTGGAGGTTTGGCAGCTGGGCTCGGTGCTGGAAACAAAGACCTAATGTAGACTCTTGATGATACTTCAAGAGGATGTCCAATTATGTCCAATGCAAATGGAGGGGTATTTTTTCTGGGATTTTTTTTCATTTTTTTTCGGGAATTTTTTTCGGATTCTGCTTTTCTGCTTTGGTTGCTTTTCTGCTTTTCTGCTTCTGCTGCTCTTTTGCTTTTGCTGTTTTTTTGCTTTTGCTGCTCTTTTGCTTTTGCTGCTTTTT